AGTAAAGCACAAATACTGTGCTCACTAAAGGGCTAATCAAGATAGCTGTCTTTACAAAACAAAACAAAACGAAAGACATTTGCTGACCGTTTCACGAGACCAGGTCATGCTCTAAAAGAACACTCCAGTCCACGGCCTCCCCTCCCCTGAGTTCAGAGCTCTCTCAGCTCTCCTGAGAACTTCATAAGAACCAACAACCTAAAAGAACACTTTAAGGGTACGCAGAGACCGGTTCTACTTTCTGGCTGAGAAAATTCTAACAGGAAGCAGACACTCAACTTCCTTATACAGACTGATAACTAAAATCAGTTTCACCAAGAGAAGATGCAGAAATTTTTCAGTTTGGGGTTAAATGCACCGCTCACATTGGGAGACACCAAGAGAGGGCCCCAGAAAAACCAGGTCGTGGGGAAAGGAGATCCATGCCAGGCAGGTTCGGGCTCTTAATTGGCTGAAAAACACTGGGCGTCCCTTAACTAATCTTCTCGTCTGCAAACGAGCATAACAATGAGTCCTGCCTCTCAAGATAACTGAAGCTCTAATGAGAAGGCCGTAAAGAACTTTAAAAGGTGCACGGGGTGGGACAGTCTCAAGTCGCTGAAACTACTTTAAGGAGGAGCGCAAGCGGGAGCCGCGCAAACCTTACCTTGACCAGCCACACTCCGGTGTTCTGCTTGGCGCCCGTCAGATCCAGTTCCCCGCGCTCGGCCATGGGTCTGTCGCCAGCGGAGGCGTGCGGGCCAGAGCAGCGGCCCCGGAAGCTGGGGGACTGCGGAACGAGGGACCGGAGCACAGGGCAAGCCGGAGCCGGTGGCTGACTGTGAATAGTCGGGGTCCACCTGCTGGGACGCTGGGATCCCGGGAAAAGAACACGCCGCCAGGAGCCGGGAACTGCGCCTGCGCGCTGCTACCGTCAGTACGGCGCGCTGCTGCAGACAAACTTCCTGAGCAGGCAACTTCTTGAGTGGGTGTGGCTACTGCCGTGGGCTGTGCCCGAGTGATTAGAGCATAAGGTGGGATGGGCCAAAACGTCAGCAATACTTTCAAAGACTAGGTCAGCGTAACTGAAGAGAGAAGGTGTCAAAACAGAAAAATGGGGTTCAAAGAGACAGAGGCTGTCAGTATCTGTCCAACCCTGGCCAAGGAGAGAGAGACAGCATTTGGAGGACAGGGTAGGAGTAATAAAGTGAATTAGCACAAGTGGTCTCAATTGAAAGGCACCCTGAACACCTCCAATTAAACAAGCAGAGTACACCCCTTTTAGACTCCAAAACCCGGAGCCCTGTAATTAGGTCAATGACAATAGACATGTAACAGACAAATCTGATTGTTAAACTTGCCTGCTTATAGAATTTCCTCTCTCTCTTCTTGCCTCTAGAATAAAATTCAATCCTCTCCACACAGGCCCTCTCAGTTTGATACCTGCCACTCAATGCACCACACATCCAACCACACCTAACCCATCAGACCTCCCTGAATACAGCAGAATGTTCCTCAATTATTTCAGAGCCTCTGCACACTGGATTCCCTTTACTCAGATGCCCTATTCTTCCCTTACCCTCATTCTCACCTCTGTCTTGTGATTGGCAGACTCCTACTTAGGTGTCAAGACTAATGGAAATGTCACTTCCTATGAGATCTTTTATCAACTCCCCCAGAGGAAGTTTCATTTTTCTTCACATCACAGTGTGCGATACTTAGCACTATGCACTATAACATACATGTTTACATGCTGCCTTTGCTTTCTAGACTATGAGCTCCTCCTAGGCAGAAATAGTGTTCTATTCATTTTTTATTCACAGCATCTGGCACAATGCTTGACACCCTGTCAGATTTCAACAGGCTTTGGCTGAATGAACATTTGCTGGAAGAGAAACAGTAAGATATGGTAAGAATGGCAAGTAATGTATTGAATCCTGCATCAGAACCGTACACATAATTGAAGAAATTCCATGTCTGTGCAGCATAGGGCTAGGAAAAGCTGTCAGGTCTCTGAGATCAGCTGGGAAAACTAACAGGAAAAATAGGAGACGAGGCACGTGTTAGAAAGGAAGATTGCATTCTTGTGTTACAGCTTGGGAAATGGCCTTAAAAGATATAAAGGACAAGTTGATAAAGAGAGCTGCCTTAAGCTTTGATCAAATAGAAGGAATAAATTAAAATATGAGACCATAAGAGAAGAGACTTAATGTAGTCTGGATGACCCTAGTAATGAACTTTAGAGTAAAGGATTAGAACCTTGGCCTTGATCTGTGGCTTATGGGAAGCCTAAAAAGGTGTGTGTGTGTGTGTGTGTGTGTGTGTGTGTGTTTACAGGGATTGGGGGAGAACAAATAGCTAAAGAAGAAGAAATGCCTAGAGAAGAAAGGAAAAAGTGAATATTTTTAAATGATTATATAAGGAAGAAGAAAAACAAACTTATTGAGCACCTCATCCTCCTACATTGCTGAATAAAGAACAGACTTCTCGGGCTTCCCTGGTGGCGCAGTGGTTGAGAGTCCGCCTGCTGATGCAGGGGACACGGGTTTGTGCCCCGGTCCGGGAGGATCCCACGTGCCGCGGAGCGGCTGGGCCTGTGAGCCATGGCCGCTGAGCCTGCGCATACGGAGCCTGTGCTCTGCAACGGGAGAGGCCACAACGGTGAGAGGCCTGCGTACCGCAAAAAAACAAAAAAAAAACAAAAAAAAAAACAGACTTCTCCTATCTGTCCTTTTCAAATTTCCTTCCAGCTTGAAGAGGATGCTTATGAGCTGTGAGAGGAAAGGAGGATGTGGTCTCCATGAAGCAGATTCACAGATTTACTTTGGAGACCAGCAAGGTAACATATATTACAGCTAGATCCTTCACCCTCCTAAGGGCCCATTATATGCCAGACATCGATAATTTTGGCCCAATCCAGCTTTATGTTCTTTCCACCATGATCCCATACCCTTAATATCCATTCCCACACAGGATCTATGGATTTCTGCTTGTGGTCAGTTAGGCATATCCAGTGCAGATATTTTAGGTATCTCTATTGCCCAATCATGCCAGAGACCATTAGTGTTCTCTTTACTACTTGAAATAGAGTCATTAGCACCTTTAAATCTAATTAGATTAGACAGCCAGTTCCAAAAAACCCAGAACCAATTTAGGAAAACCTATTCTTAACACCCTGTTCCTCTAGGATCACTCTCAGTACCAAATAAGTATTAGTCAGGGTTCTCCAGAGAAACACATGATAGATAAATAGATAGATAGATAGATAGATAGATAGATAGATAGATAGGCATTTACTGTATAGGAATTGGCTCACATGATTATGGAGGCTGAGAAGTCCTAAGATCTGCATTTGGCAAGCTGAAGACCAGGAGAGCCAAAGGTATGCTTCTAGTCTGAGTTCAAAGGCCTGAGAGGCAGGAGAGGTGATGGTGTAAGTTCCAGTCCAAATCTGAAGGCAGGAGATGATTAATGTCCCAGCTTGAAGACAGGCAGAGAGAGTGCATTCTCCCTTACTGAACCTTTTTTTCTACTTTGGCCTTCAACTGATTGGGTGAAGCTCACCCATATTGGGGAGGACAATCTACTTTACTCACTCTACTGATTCAAAGGTTAATTCATCCAGAAATACCCTCACAGACACACGCACAATAACGTTGGACCAAATGTCTGGACAAACAGGCCCAGTCAGGTTGGCACATAAAATTAACCATCACAGACAGATACAGAGGTCACCACACAAAAAGGAAACTCACAAATTCTTTACTCTCCCAGATGATTGACTAGTCAAGTTTTTTTTAATGGAAAATGTCAATACCTTGTCTTATTATTATTAATGTAAGTATGTGATGCCAAAGAAATGAAGGTCATTTTACAAACTCAGAATTTTGGAAAATACATGAAATTTCCATTTTATTACAGTTTTATACCACATTAGTTCAAATGCATTTCTCTACAGTTCCTTCAACAGAGCTCCTCTGGAATTATTTCAGTCATCCTTAACATGTGACTTTACCAAAGACTTTGAATGTAAAACGTATAAAATTTCAAATTACTAACTTTTAATTATGAATGGGATAAGAAATAAAGTCATCAGATGATGGCTGGGGATATTAATTTCCAACACGACACTTTGTTGAAATGTTTTTTCTGATACCCCAGATATAAATGAGAACCTTCAAAAAAAAAAGGCAGAACCAAAGTACAATAAAGAAGCCTCCGCAGCTTAAGCCTTCCATAGTCCTAAACCTCTGACAGAAGCTAGGCAAAGCATCTTTCTTGCAAATTAAGTGGGTTTCCAGTATTTCCATGTAGTTGAGCTTTCAGGGACAGACACTCAAGCATATCCTTAGGATATACCATCTTGGCTCTGGTTGTATTAATTATGCCTGAAGAGTTTAATACCCATCCAAGTCCAAAGGTGGAAGAACACATAAACGGTTATGGTAATCAACAAGAGCAGACTGTAAAAGCACACCACAGAGGCCGAGTATAACAGTCCTGCTAAAGAGACCAATGGAATAAGGACAGTCAATGTAGGAAGAGACAGAAACATTCTTTTCCTCCACTTTTTACACACCACTCTGACTTTTTTTTTAGGAAAGATTTATTTATTTTATTTATTTCGTTGCTGCATGCAGTCTTTCTCTAGTTGTGGCGAGCGGGGGCTACTCTTTGTTGCGGTGTGCAGGCTTCTCATTGCGGTGGCTTCTCTTGTTGCAGAGCACGGGCTCTAGGCGTGCTGGCTTCAGTAGTTGTGGCACACGGGCTCAGCAGTTGTGGCTCGTGGGCTCAGTAGTTGTGGCTCATGGCCTCTAGAGCACAAGCTCAGTAGTTGTGGCACATGGGTCTAGTTGCTCCACGGCATCTGGGATCATCCCGGACCAGGGATCGAACTCGTGTCCCCTGCATTGTTAGGCGGATTCTCAACCACTGTGCCACCAGGGAAGTACCCCCTCTGACTTTTTAAAAGGTGGATGGTATTTAGAAAATTTAGTTGTGCTGTTGTTTTCAAGTATGACCTAATGCTGCTTCATTTCTTCTTGCTTCTTATTTTGATGTGTCATCCTAGCTGCCTGTGGTATCATATTAGGAATCCCATCAATAGTTGGATAGGCTATTCCTAACTCTTCGTTAATCAATTCATTGGTCGGTGCTTCACATCTGAGTGGCTTCTTGGAGAGCGGGCACACCAGGAACTGCAGCAGCACTGGGTCGAAGGTGCCGGGCGGTTTCCTCGCCCTCTCGCTCTTGTCTGTGGACGGCTGCGACACCAATGCGTGCAGATGCCTCTGGGCGCCCGCGGACGGCTCTGCGTGTGTATCCCGCAGCGCTGAGGCGAGCTGGCCGCACACTCCTCAGCATGTTCCAGCGGCCCGCGACCGGGCCTCTGCGCGCCCTTGACCACCCCCCTCAAGTTTTTATTAAATCTTTTAAGGCACAAATGCAAGCCAAGGAGGTAAGGCTCAAGAACTCACTAATGGCGGAAAAATTTTCAAGAACACGACATGTCTTGTAAATTTAGAACACCACAGTTCTATCATGTAGCCATTAGAGGATAAGCAGCAGTCATCAGAGGAGATGTTACAAGAGAGTTGAGGGAATTAGAATGATATTAACAGTAGCTGAGTCCACTCTCAGATTCTGTCCTTGGCCCTCCCATAGGGGCCCAGTATCCCTCTAGGCCAGAGATTCTCTTTGTTCATACTTAGAAACATTCTAGCAAGAGGAAGTATTACCTTCAGCAGCATTCATATAGGCAGAAAAACACCATCACAAAATTCTTTTTTAAAAATTTTTTTCTTCCAATTTTATTGAGATATAATTGACATACAGTACTGTATAAGTTTAAGGTATACATCATAATGATTTGACTTACAACCTGAAATGATTATCACAATAAGTTTAGGGAACATCCATTATCTCATATACATACAAAATCAAAGAAACAGAGAAAAATATTTTTCCTTGTGATGAGAACTCAGGATTTACCCTCTTGACAATGTTCATATATAACATTCAGCAGTGTTAATTATATTTATCATGTTGTACATTATATCCCTAGTGTTTATTTATCTCATAACTGGAATTTGTAACTTTTGCAAAATCCTTCTCAAAAAGCCAGACTTACTCTGTATTGGTTATTTTCATTCAAAAATTACAAATGGGGCTTCCCTGGTGGCGCAGTGGTTGAGAGTCCGCCTACCGATGCAGGGGACATGGGTTCGTGCCCCGGTCCGGGAAGATCCCACATGTCGTGGAGCGGCTGGGCCCGTGAGCCATGGCCGCTGAGCCTGCGCATCCGGAGCCTGTGCTCCGCAATGGGAAAGGCCACAACAGTGAGAGGCCCGCGTACTGCAAGGAAAAAAAAAAAGACTTAACACTACAATGTGAAAACTATGTGGTAACTGCATTAATTATATTGGGTCAAATAATTGAAAGGAAACATAAAAGATTTATTATAGGCAGTGGTGTGCTGGTAAATGTTTAACAACTGGATTTTTCTAACCCCCAGAAAAAGCCCTGGTTTGTAATGTTTGCCTGATTTTTTTTTTTTTTGAGGATTCAGTTTATTTATTTAAAAAAAAAATTTTTTTTTTTTTTGGCCACACCTTGCGGCTTAGTTCCCCGACCAGGGATCGAACCTGGACCCCCTGCAGTAGAACCGCAGAGTCCTAACCACTGGACTACCAGGGAAGTCCCTGTTTGCCTGATTTGCACTGTGAAGTTGGATGAGATGCATATTAGCATGGCATGGTATAGTATTTTCACCCTATGGCTACATTAGATGTAAATAGAGCGCATAGACAATCGTAAAATACAGTAAAATAATTGGGAAGTGATGAGTTTTTGGTTTTATTATCTTGGTGTTCAGTATAATTTATTTAATCATTAGTGTTCTGGAGAAAAGGGAGTAGCACGAGAACCTGCTGTATAGCATAGGGAACTCCACTTGGCTGTACAGCAGAAACTAACACAACATTATAAAATAACTATACCCCATTTTAAAAAAGAAAGGGAGTAGCATCTGCAAACCCCAAAGGGACCTATGTGTTGGTGTCTGTGGAGCGGGGGGAATGCCAGCAGGCAGGGCACAGTGAGTGAGTGACAAAGCAGTGACAGTGCCACCAGTTGGAGAGGGGATGGGAGGTCAGCCCATGCAAGGCCTCACAGGCCTTGTTCAGATCAAATATAAACTTCAAGAAGCAGGGGTTTTTTTTTTTTGGTTGCGCCGCGCGGCTTGCGGTATCTTAGTTCCCCGACCAGAGATCAGCCCAGGCCCTCAGTAGTGAAAGCGTGGAGTCCTACCCACTGGACTGCCAGGGCATTCGCTGAAGAAGAGTTTTAAGCCTGAGTATAAAATAATCACATTTACATTTTTTTTTTTTTTTTTTTTTTTTTTTTTTGCGGTACGCGGGCCTCTCACTGCTGTGGCCTCTCCTGTTGTGGAGCACAGGCTCCGGACGCGCAGGCTCAGCGGCCATGGCTCACGGGCCCAGCTGCTCCGCGGCATGTGGGATCTTCGCGGACCGGGGCACGAACCCGCGTCCTCTGCATCGGTAGGCGGACTCTCAACCACCGCGCCACCAGGGAAACTCCAAAATTACATTTTTAAAAAGATCTCTTTAGCTACTGTGGAAAAAAAAAGTGGAAAGTGCCAGAATGGAAACCAAGAGACTGGTTCAAACATTACTAAACTAATCCACGTTGGAAGGAGCAGTGGTTTGCATGAGGAAAGTGGAGATAAAGAGAAGTAGATGAACTGGAAACATATATATAGATTTAGGAGGTCGAATTGACAAGGCTTTGTGATTCCTTGCTGTGTAGCAAAACAGGACCATTTACTGGGCAGAAGACCTGAATAGATATTTTTCCAAAGAAGACATACAGATGGAAAATGGGCACATGAAAAGATGCTCAATATCACTAATCATCAGAGAAATGCAAATCAAAACCACAGTGAGATATCACTTCACACTTGTCAGAATGGTTATGATCTTAAAAGTCTACAAATAGGGCTTCCCTGGTGGCGCAGTGGTTGAGAGTCCGCCTGCTGATGCAGAGGACACGGATTCGTGCCCCGGTCTGGGAAGATCCCACATGCCGTGGAGCGGCTGGGCCCGTGAGCGATGGCCGTTGAGGCTGCGAGTCCGGATCCTGTGCTCCGCAACAGGAGAGGCCCCAAAAGTGAGAGGCCTGCGTACCGCAAAAAAAAAAAAAAAAAAAAAAAGTCTACAAATAAAAAACGCTGGCAAGGATATGGAGGAAAGGGACTATATGCTGTTGGTAGGAATGTAAATTGGGGCAGCCACTATGGAAAACAGAACGGAAGTTCTTCAAAAAACTAAAAATAGGGACTTCCCTGTGGTCCAGTGGCTGGGACTCCGCATTCCCAATGCAGGGGGCCTGGGTTCGACCCCTGGTTGGGGAACTGGATCCCACATGCACGCCGCAGCTAGGAGTCTGCATGCCGCAACTAAGAGATCCATGTACCACAGCAAAGATCCTGTGTGCTGCAACTAAGACCTGGCACAGCCAAAAAATAAGTTAATTAAATATTTTTAAAAATTAAAAAAAGGGGCTTCCCTGGTGGCGCAGTGGTTGGGGGTCCGTCTGCCAATGCAGGGGACAGGGGTTTGTGCCCCGGTCTGGGAGGATCCCACATGCTGCGGAGCGGCTGGGACCGTGAGCCATGGCTGCTGAGCCTGTGCATCCGGAGCCTGTGCTCCGCAACGGGAGAGGCCACAACAGTGTGAGGCCCGCGTACCGCAAAAAAAATAATAAATAAATAAATAAAATAAAATAAAAATAAAATAAAAATAGGGACTTCCCTGGTGGTTCAGTGGTAAAGAATCTGCCTTACAACGCAGGGGACACAGGTTCAATCCCTGGTCGGGGAACTAAGTTCCCACGTGCCATGGGGCAACTAAGCCCGTGCACCACAACTACTGAGCTCGCATGCCTCAAACTATTATGTATAAAATAAACATCAAGGATATATTGTATAGTACAGGGAAATATAGACATTATTTTGTAGTAACTTTAAATGGGGTATAATCTATAAAAATATCGAATCACTGCATTATACATCTGAAACTAATGAAATTTTGTAAATCAACTATACTTCAATGAAAAAAAAATAGGACCATGTACCAAGTGATAACTCAGTACAAGAAAATAGGACAAAAGACACACACATAAACACACATAGCTTTGCTCCTTCTGGGAGATGAGACAAGACTGCATGTATTTTCCTTGATGGATAACACAATTCAGTTGAATTGCTTTTGTTAAGTGTCTTATGTCTGATGTAACATATGGTTACTGTGGCCTGCTAAAAGCCCTCAGTCTCAGTAAGTCAGTTTAATTGCCCATTAGGGATTACTCTGGGAATAAAGTGTTAAATAAAGCATGAGAAAATTTAATTTGTCATTGCTGTAATGAAGTCCAATTTGTTTTCATATATGATTTACCAAAACATTTATATCATACTTTATATATTAAATAAAATTATAGTTAGGAAACAGCACTGAAATCCTTGATCGAAGTGCCCAGATAAAAATCACAAATAACAATAAGTCCTAAAATATCATATTAAACAGATGCATCCTCACTAGTGTTCAGATTTTGAAGCCAGGGAGGCCATGTGTGCTGAATATCAATGAGGAATTATGTCCATATTCCTGCTAAGAGCAAAAGCGAGGCCCTTCCTTATTGATGGATCTGACTTCCCACCCAAATACACAAACATCAGGGACAGGAATAGTTTTCACATGCAGGGTGAGGTGAAAATATTAGCTAAAGCAAGGATGTGCCTACCCATCAATGGGTAAAGTCGAAAGTTCAGTTTAAGGCTCCTTTCTATAAGTAGAGCTCTTGCAATAGCTTTGCCAATGCATTTTTTACTTCTCTCTCATGTAACAACTGAGATGATGATGGCTCTGCTCCATGTACTTGCTGGGAACCTAGGGTTCTTCCATCTTATTATTTCGTCATCTCTGGGGTGTTGTCCTCCTCTGCATGATGGACCACAAAGTCTGCATCTTCCAACCAGCAGGAGAAGGAAAAGGGGAAAAGAATTATACATCACTTTGGCCAGAGCTTCAAAATATTTTTTTTTCATGGCAGCATTATTCACAAGAGCCAAGAGGTGGAAGAAACTCAAGTGTCCAAGAATAGGTGAATGGATAAACAAAATGTGGCCTATACATACAATGGGGTATTATTCAGCGTTAAAAAAGGAATGAAATTCTGTCACCTGCTGCAACATGGATGAACCTCAATGACATTATTCTAAGTGAAATATGCCAGTCACAGAAATATGAGTATGTGTGATTCCATGACAAGAGGTACCTAGAGTAGTCAAACTCATAAAAACATGGCAGAAGAAAAGGTAGAATAGAGGTTGCCAGGGGCTAGAAGCGGGGAACAGGAGTTGTAGTTTAATGACTACAGAGTTTCAGTCTTGCAAGATGCGAGAATTTTGGAGCTGTATGATGGTGACGGTTGCACAGAAATGTGAATGAACTTAATGCCACTTAATGAATAAGATGGTAAATGTTCTGTATATTGTACCACAATTTTTAAAAACACCTAAAATTAAAAAAAAAAAAAATTGTAGTCTGAATTGGGATCCAAATAAGGGCCATATGTTGTGACTGGTTGAAATGTCTCTTAGTTCTCAGTCTCCTCTGTCTTTCTCTGTCTCAGTCTCGTTGTTAAAGAAACTAGATTAGTTTCTTAGATATAGTTCTTTAACTATACACTTTTCTACATTCTGTATTTTACTCATTGCATCTGAGGGTATCATTTATGATGTTTCTCCTTCCCTTTTATTTCCTACAAACTGCTAGTTAGATCTTGAGGCATGATCAGACTCGGGCTTGATTTTGGTGGAGGTAAAGATGATTTCCTTCCTGTGTGCTCTTGTGCACTTCCAGCCAGAGAGAGATCACATCTAGCTTTCTTTCTTCTTGCGATGTTGGCAACCATCGATGAATATTGCTTAGACCCAACAATTCATTAGGGATTGCAAAACTGTTATATTCCAGGTGCTGGGCTGAGTCACTGCTGTCCTGGGACAGAGGCTGCCCCAGAGGAGCCAGTGGGGACCAGGGCTGAGGGGTTGAGGCACATTAACCACCGACCCACCCACCATTGGCTTAGGCTCCCCATGTGGATTCATTGACACAATGACTCAAGGTTACTGTGTGTGGGTTTATTTGGATGGACTATCTCTTAGGTACTACATTAAACATTTTTACCTACATTAACAGAGACACTTTTAGGCTGGAGGAGTACTCCAGGGAGTTCAGCTCTCAATCCACCTGTAGTACTCTGATGCCCAGTCTTGCATCCTCTTCATCCTTCAACCCCAAAGCCATAGCCTTTTCTGTTTTATTTTCCTGCAACATCCTTTGATCACCAACCAAGAAGAGCTTCCATGGCCTATTAAAATTGGAGCTCCCAAATTTGCTACTGGCTGATTGCCTAATTGTTTTTGTTTCTACACATAATAGATTTCTACAGCATTTGCCTCTCAAGCATCCAGAAAGAAAAGCACTGTCTCTGCTAAACTAAGAGAATCAAGTGCAGAGTAACTCCATTCAATTTGCACAAAAGTTCGGCTCTGCGTGGAGATAAACTAGGCTGGGTCACAAGTCTGCTCTGTAAGTAGCTGCCCCATGTGGACACAT